TCTGCTAATTTAAAAATGTAAGGAGCAATTTTTTCACCTTGTTCCTTTTTTAGAATACTTCTAATGGTGCTGTAATTTTTGGGTTCCATAGTAGATCTGATATAAATTAATTTCATATTAACTATTTTTATATAGAGGTAGTTCTATACAAATGACTAAAATTTGATCCCTGAAATCTTTGGTAACACTAATGTTCACTTTGTCTGGTTTTGTTGCAGCATGCCCCATATGTAAATCCCCCGCTTTGTACATGTTTCACCAATTAATAATTCAAAATAAATAATTATGTCATAAAATAAGTTAAAAATAGAAATGATGTGATGAACTATAGTTGGCTCGGTCTAAAGACCTCCTAAATTTTGAGCAAATTTTAAAAGTATAGAAGTCATTTCCTATCCTACATTTTTAAAAAATAGAGTTATTAGTTGATAGCATAGGTCTTTAGTTTTAATGTAATAATGAGATATTCTCAGAAAAATTCTTTGTTGTAGAGTTCTATTCTTTTTTAAAACATGTACTTTACTATGCTCGTGAGGAATTGGTCCACTAAGATCATTGCTAAATTTAGACTATTTTTTGATCATCCTTACCAAATTTGGACTAATACACAACTATCATATCTAAATTTGGCAGTAAGGAAAATAATTTTTTAACCAAAATCACATGAAACCCTTTTTTAAAAATTTTTATTGCATTTTTGAATGAATCACGAAATCGCTATTTTTGAAATTTGTCCATGTGGCGCAGCAATAGAAGGTCTTTAGACCGAGCCAACCATATATACATGTGTAATGTGGCGCAATGTATGGCCAACAGTTACACAAAATATTAAGATAAAAATAGAAATGATATCATTACCACGTGACTTTCACAGTAAGTCAGTCTCATGCCTGGGACTTCTTCAGTCCCCATTTACAATCTCACAATCTTCCCCTTCTTAAGACTTATTGTCCATGATAAATCATCTATAACTGTCCTCTTCTTCTTAAGTCTCTTATACTTCTAACACCTGATCCTCTTGATTGTGGTTTCCTTCCTTCTTCTAAGGTTCTGTTCTCTCTTTCCTCCTTGTATAATTCTTCTCCCCATTCCATGTAACATTTATTACAGGAAACATGTTTAACTACTTGTCTGTGGAATTACTATTGATGTTTTACATCTATCACGGGTATAGGGTTTACATGCATTGCTTGCCTTCTTATTTTTATTAAGATAGAGGATAAATTTCTTTGAGTACTTCTTGTTTCTTCATTCAAGGTACTGTTTTATGTTTTCAGGTTTAATGTTCTCCTTTCCTTCTTCAGGTTCTTCCTTGTAACATGGTTCCTTATTCTTTTCTTTGATATATTTGCACAGTAGTCTTTTTCCTGCTGTTACTAAATCTTCCTTGTCAAATGGCAATAGGCATTCATGACAAAGCTTAATCCTGTCTGTCATATGTCTATGATATTCTTTTAAATTCAATAATATTGGCAATTTCTCCACTATGGCCTCCCTATTCTCAAGGTATGTTGATTTAAGGCTTGGATATATTCTTCATCCTCTGAATTTTCCTGGAGGTATGTATCCATACTATGTCCAAGTTGTTCATATTCTTGTTCAAAGCATCTCCATGCTTCCTGCCAAGTTTCATTTGAATAATATCTTTGATGATATTCTTCCTGTACAGGTCTGTTTAATTTGATATAATAGGCCTCTGCAGCTCTTAATACATCTTCTTTATCTTCAGTGCAATTCTTAACTTCTATATAATGTTTAACTTTCTGTGGAACATGGGCAAAGATATTTGCTGATGTTACTGCTAGGTATGCATACTTACATACTTCTGAGCACACATCATTATTCCAACTAGTGTTCCATGTTGCAATCCAAAAAAGGAAACAAAATGGTCGTAAAGGTGGTTGCAACCAGTGGTTGCAATCATTTTTATATGACGCAAAGGTGGTAGCAACCATCATCAAAAGTTGCAGCCGGTATCCTTAATTCCAACTAATGTTGACTCTTTCAATCATTGGTTGGTTGCACACTCTACATGGCTGATTATACCATTGTGGTGGTGGTGGTTGTGTAGTGAGTACTGGTATTGCAATTGGTTGTGTAATTGGCAGAATTGGTGGGGAAGATGTCCTAATAACCGTGATGAATGGATCAACTATACCCTGCTGGCCCCCTGGTGGTTGTACGATTGTTGTTTGCCAATTAGGCGGTTGTCTTGGTGGTGATGTGGCAGTTCTTCCTATTCCCTGGATACTAGTTCCTGCTAAGTTTGGCTGAGATCCCGCTCCTTGCCCCATACTGACTGTTTGAGAAACCGTTGGTGTTGGTGTGTTTGGTGGGCTCATGCTATTAAAGCAAACATCACAGTACTGATTTGACCTATGCTGCACTGAGCTTCGACATTCCTCTCTTATGCATTCTGGTAGATTCTTTTCACAGGGCCAACAGTACATTGCGTCCTCCAGCACAAGGTTTTCACATCCCTGTTCTTCACATTGTCTTATTTTGGCTCCACAGTGTTGGCACTGAGTGTTATTTATGTGATTCCATTCTGTGCAGAAAGGGGCTGGGCATCTTCTCAAATCCCTTCTTCTATAATTTTCACAATAGCTTCATCCACTTAGCTTTGCCCTAGGGCAGTCTTCCGTTATACACCTTCTTGGGTCCTCTTGACATTCCTTACAAAAGGCTTTATAATCTTCTCTTTTGTTTTCGCATGAATCTATTTGACATTTACACTTCTGGCAGTATCGGTCACCTATGTCCCTTTCTGACCCACACTGTTCACAAAAAGATCCCTTGCATGTTGTGCAAAAGATATGGCCCATTTCCCTTCTGTTTTTACATCGTAATATTGCACACTTTACTCTTTGCTTTCTTTGTTCTTCTACTTTCTGATAGCAGCCTCTGCACAGATGGCTATTCCCATCCTTTGGCTCCATACAGCCATTGGTTGTGCATGTATGTGCTGCACAGTATAATTCTCCCATTTGGGCTTGTTCAACGCAGGTTCCCTCTTTGCAGTAGACTGTGTCATTTTTGGAGGCACACTTTGCACAAAATTTCGATCCTCCCAATTTTACATTGGTGCAATCCTTGGTTACGCATTTTCTTGCCGCCAGCTGCTTATCCAAGCAGCTCTTGCAGAATTGTGCCCCCTTTTGTTTTTTATTTTTACAATCTTTAATTATGCAAAATGGGTTTTCCGGTGGATTAGTAGATGTCCCTGCAGTTACTGGTGTTGACGTACTGGTCCCTCCAACATTGTCCCCTGCGGTACTTTGTGGCTTACTATTCTTGCTGCTGCTAATAGACGCCACGGCCTCTTTCTTTTTTTCCTTATTTTCTTTTACTATTGTTGATGGGTCTGGCACTGGTGGTCCTGTTGCCATTTTAATACTTGTTTTTGCTTCTACCATTTGAACCACTGGTTTGGTCTCCGAATTGTCTTCTTTTGTTGTGCTCTGGCCTCCCCCTGACAATGATCTCGATATTCCTCCAAAAAATCCACTCATCTGGTCTTCCTTTGCCTTTGCTACCAATGCTCTGTATTGAAGGAGTTTCTTTTCGTATTCCTGTATTTTAAATTCCCCGGTCCCTTTTATCTAGTTCCGTACCCTTTTCTCTTTGGAATTCTAATGCTAACTTTTTACTAGTAATTTCAGTTATTGCCCTTTCTAGGTCCCTAAGGGTCGACTTTGGTGGCGATATCTCTGGTGAATTAGTAGCGTTTTCTAATGTAGTATCTCTCAGATATCCTGGGCTCTTCCGGTATGGTGTTTCTTCTATAATCAAGATAGTACTATCGTCCTCCACTTTTGCTTAATTAATTTATGTTTTATAGGTTCTTGACTATAATCTTCCAACAGCAGATATGAGGATCTAGCTGTCGATTATAGTCCTGTCGTCGTCGCCAAAATGCAAGCGTGTAAATTCAATTACAGCTCGGGTTGTGTCCAATAAAATATATAAGATAAACTAAAAGTTCTAATGTATGAATCTCCCTATCTTCGCACACAGCTAAGGGTTCTCAATTCCGACCTCTGATTACGGCACACAGCTCAGAGTCTTAACTTCCGGCCTCTGATTACGGCACACAGCTCAGAGCCTCTCTATTGCGCAATCTCTCTTTACAGTACTAATGGAAGTACTGCTGGCAAAGCCTAAAAATAATCAATAAATGTTCCACTGTCTGACTAAGGCGTCACTTAGTTAGTATGGTCTTAATTTAAGGTGAGGTATGCTTTTCAGCAAAGGTTTATCAAGAGGTTTATTAGGAGTTCAAATTTTTTATTGTAAAGATGTTATGTGTCTTTATTAGCGATAATATTTCTATTACAATGTTATTATATTGTTATTATTATTGTATCATGAACATGATGATTCTTACTTGGTCTAAAACCAAGCCTATTTATACCTCTTGAGGTATTACAAATAACATGACCTTTACAATATTTTTCCAATAATATATGCTTATTAATCCTATTTTCTGTAATACTAGCCTACTAATCGTTAATTACTAATGCTATGACTCATAATGACTAATCCTATGAGTCATTATTACAAATAATTGAATTAATAATTCGAAGTAAATAATTATGTCATAAAATAAGTTAAAAATAGAAATGATGTAATGTGTAACATGACGCAGTATGTAGCGGAGTTGTTACACAAAATATTAAAATAAAATAGAAAATGATGTCATTATCACGTGACTGTAGCAGTAAGTTGGTTTTGATTGATCGACATGCTCGGGACTTCCTCAGTCCTCATTTACAATCTCACAATATATTGTTGGTGCCAAAAAGCCACCCAGCAATAGTCCTTTTCTAAAAATTACCATTATTGTTGTTGTGGCTTATCTACTTGCTATTTTTTTCTCACACAATTTCATCTCATTTTATCCACCACTCTGATTCATTCATTTCAGCCATTATTGATTCTCTTATTTTGGCCATTGATTTGTTCATTTCTTCCTTTTGAGTTTCTTTCATTCAGCCATTGATTTTTTCATTTCAGTTATTTGTTCATTCATTTCAGCCATCTCCCTTTCCCTCTTCATTTCCTTTTCTTCATCTATTATTGGATTTTCATCCTTCTCTAGACATTGATCGATTATTTTGCACAGGCGATATTGAGTCCATGTTGTTGAAGTAACCAGAAAGTCACCAGGTGTTGGTTTCTCCTCTGTAAAGAAGAACACATTTCTTGCTAAAGAGAGAACCAGGATGCTTTGACAAAATAAAAATCATTTGGCCATTTTAGCACAATAAATAATGTTTGCAGGATATTCGGGAGATAAAACCATCTAGGAAAAAATAATATATTAAAAATATTCCATTCAAGTATTTTTGAGTCAAAACACATTAGTATTAGTATATGAGTAATGAATGCTGTAACTAACAATATCCCAAATAGTGTAAGGAATACCATATTAATGGGATCAAAAAGATGTCCAATTGTAATAATCACAATCCAGAATATTTGAATGACTATAGCTGGGAAAAATAAAAAAAGAATTGTTATCATCACCAAATTTTTTATTTATCACAGTTACTGTGCAAATTAAAATGCAAACTCATTTTCACAAATGAAAATATCTTTATAGTCAACAAATCATCATAGGCCAAAGAAACCACCAGTGGAATCACCCAATTGACAAGCGGAAGGAGTGAAAAGAACAAGATAAAATTCAATTTCACCTTTTTTTGCTTTGGTTGAATAGAGACCCTTTGAGGAGAAATAATTTTTTATGTCAAATAATATGAAAATTTTCTCACATAGTAATAGACTTATTTTATAGACAATATATTTGTAACTCAACCAATCAATAATACGGATTATTCCACTAATTATTAATAAATATATATAGGAAATAAATAATATAAATAAGCAATAAAAATATAAATAAAAATGAGCGATATCTTGGAAAAAAAGAGAAACAGATCGTGGAACCTAGAATTAAAATGAAATCTTGACCAATCAATAAATATTAATTATGGTACAGATTTATTTTTTATTCCACTAACTAGAAATTGCTATTGCAGGCAGCATAATGTATGTGCTGCACAGTATAATTCTCCCATTTGGGCTTGTTCAACGCAGGTTCCCTCTTTGCAGTAGACTGTGTCATTTTTGGAGGCACACTTTGCACAAAATTTCGATCCTCCCAATTTTACATTGGTGCAATCCTTGGTTACGCATTTTCTTGCCGCCAGCTGCTTATCCAAGCAGCTCTTGCAGAATTGTGCCCCCTTTTGTTTTTTATTTTTACAATCTTTAATTATGCAAAATGGGTTTTCCGGTGGATTAGTAGATGTCCCTGCAGTTACTGGTGTTGACGTACTGGTCCCTCCAACATTGTCCCCTGCGGTACTTTGTGGCTTACTATTCTTGCTGCTGCTAATAGACGCCACGGCCTCTTTCTTTTTTTCCTTATTTTCTTTTACTATTGTTGATGGGTCTGGCACTGGTGGTCCTGTTGCCATTTTAATACTTGTTTTTGCTTCTACCATTTGAACCACTGGTTTGGTCTCCGAATTGTCTTCTTTTGTTGTGCTCTGGCCTCCCCCTGACAATGATCTCGATATTCCTCCAAAAAATCCACTCATCTGGTCTTCCTTTGCCTTTGCTACCAATGCTCTGTATTGAAGGAGTTTCTTTTCGTATTCCTGTATTTTAAATTCCCCGGTCCCTTTTATCTAGTTCCGTACCCTTTTCTCTTTGGAATTCTAATGCTAACTTTTTACTAGTAATTTCAGTTATTGCCCTTTCTAGGTCCCTAAGGGTCGACTTTGGTGGCGATATCTCTGGTGAATTAGTAGCGTTTTCTAATGTAGTATCTCTCAGATATCCTGGGCTCTTCCGGTATGGTGTTTCTTCTATAATCAAGATAGTACTATCGTCCTCCACTTTTGCTTAATTAATTTATGTTTTATAGGTTCTTGACTATAATCTTCCAACAGCAGATATGAGGATCTAGCTGTCGATTATAGTCCTGTCGTCGTCGCCAAAATGCAAGCGTGTAAATTCAATTACAGCTCGGGTTGTGTCCAATAAAATATATAAGATAAACTAAAAGTTCTAATGTATGAATCTCCCTATCTTCGCACACAGCTAAGGGTTCTCAATTCCGACCTCTGATTACGGCACACAGCTCAGAGTCTTAACTTCCGGCCTCTGATTACGGCACACAGCTCAGAGCCTCTCTATTGCGCAATCTCTCTTTACAGTACTAATGGAAGTACTGCTGGCAAAGCCTAAAAATAATCAACAATATTCCACTGTCTGACTAAGGCGTCCCTTAGTTAGTATGGTCTTAATTTGAGGCGAGGTATGCTTTTCAGCAAAGGTTTATTAAGGGTTTTATTAGAAGTCCAATTAGTTATTGTAAAAGTGTTATGTGTCTTTATTAGCGATATTATTTTTGTTACAACGTTATTATTATATTATTATCCTGGAATTATGAACATGATGATTCCCCCTTGGTCTAAAACTAAGCCTATTTATACCTCTTGAGGTATTACAAATAACATGACCTTTACAATATTTTGTCCAATAATGTATGCTTATTAATCCTATTTTCTGTAATACTAGTGTGAGATCAAAAATTCCGTCTCACACAAATCTATTGATTTGGTTATAATATTATTTATCCCTTCCTATGGCAG